AAAATAGAAATAGAAATAAACCAGCATTAGAGAGTAAGAAAAATATACAGATAACTGGGAAGGTAAAAAATCTATACACGGTCTGACAAATACAAAAAAAAACGATTGAAGGGCCAATTCTCTGTTTACACAATATAAGCGGGATATTATTTGTATAAAGTGTGCAAGGAATATTCATTTAAATATAAATACAAAATGTACAGTGTGAATGTTATAACCCTATTAATACGGGTTTACTAAAAAGCAACATTTGATGTGTTGATACCGAAGTTTAGTTTGTCTCTGCAGCAAAAGTATTTCCCCGTAAGATAATACAATTAAGATAATACAATTATTATTATTATTTTATGTTTAAAAAAATGCTGTATATGAATCTTGTTTGATTACAGATGTGACTGCATCTATAGAAGAGCATTGGGTTTTAGTCACTGCAATTGTACAAAGAGGACTCTGTCCGAGGAGGAATTCTTTATGCCTTCTTTATGTGTGTGTGTTGTGTGTGCTCGTGTGTTTTTGCGTATGCGTGCGAAATAGTCAGCAATAATATTTGAGGAGGGAGCAGGTATCCAGCAGTCTTCTGGGAGGAAGCACAGTTTTTCGGTTTTCCACACTTGAATCCCTTCTTTGTGCTTTGGAATGTTTGGGAATGTAATTTTTTCTCTCTCTCACTCTTCCCCCTCACAGAGGCCAGAGTCATCCCAGAAGGAGGTAATGTATTTAAATAACACATCTCCTTTTAGCAACCTCAAACGTTGCAACAAACACAAGCCTCAGATATTAAAAATAGTTTTCCATCAATTGCACTTTCAAAAATTCCCCATAGAGATACTTTGGTCACCAAAATGCAATGATGTGAAAAAACTTTGGGAGATGTTGATATTGCTCCTCATCTCTCTACTATAAGTTTGTTTGTATTATAATTTTTTTTATGCATGCTTCTTAGTTAACATTAAGCTGTCTTTGACTCTTTTTCTGCTGTAACAACAAACGGCTAAAGGTATTCTGATTCTGATTATTATTTATAAAGTTGCACCCTTTCTCTGCGTAAAGGCAGTCTGGGAATTGTACAATGTACCAAGTGAACAAATACAAATAAGTGGTGTACCCCTCATATTACACATAGGGAACTGTGATATATAAAATACAAGAGTGGTGTTATTCTTTAAGTTGTCTCATGTCCTCCCCTGGCCTGCTGTGTGTCTTTAGTTCCATATGAAGAACCTCCAGCTGTCCCCTACTGGCCCTACTCCACCTCTGACTTCTGGAACTACATTGAATACTTCAGATCCATCGGCGCCTACAACCACATCAACGAGATGGCCCGGGCCTTCTTTGCCCACCAGCACCTCGGAGACACCTTGGGATATGAGACCACAGAGGGACATGAACACTGAGAGGGAGCTAATGGCGGCAGGATTTAGAGGAAGGGGGCAGAAATGGGACTCTTGAGATGTTAAAAAAGAGTATCAGATGTCAGAGAGAGGGAAAATTAGTTACTAAATTAATGTAGGGTATACATAACATGTGATATGCTAAATGAAGTGAATACTTGCAGTTTTTCTTTTCCCAAGTATATCACTGCTGTTAGTTTAGACAATAATCCAAATGTAGAGTTATAGATCTTTTATAGCAGAGTATGTAATCCTTATAATGAATCAAAAATGAATAAAATGTCCAAATATGTCTATTAAATGATTTATAAAATGATTTATGTTGTCGTCTTTTTCCAGTATCCTTCTATTCTATTATTTATTTATCATTACAGTTTTTATCCTTCCACAATTATTTTTTTATTTCTTTCTCTTCATTTTCACTACTTTCATGCAGGCACGTGCACACATACATCAAAGTGGGCTTGAGCCCCTGCTCTTTTTCTTCCTCCAGAGAAAGTGCCCTTTCCCCCCCCTTTTTTTATGTTAACTAGGTCTAATTAAAATGCGCTAATTTGCATGCATCTACCAAGGCATTGCAGGTCAAACGGATAAAACAAAAAACACATCACCTCACAACTTCCCCAGTTACTTACGTCAAGTCAGTATTTTCCCCTGAAATGTTATGAATGAATATATATCTACTGCTGTTTGCGCACAGTTACCCTTTCCATAAATATATGGATTGAATACAAAAATGTAAAGGGGACCTATCATGCAAAATGCACTTTTGTACGTCTTTTATACATGAATATGTGTCCCCAGTGTGTCAGGGAACTCACCAAGTGTCAGAAAACACAACCCTCTCACTTTTCCATACCCAAATCTCTAAAAACGGGGCTGCAACGGAGCTGATACAGACGTAAATGTTTCTGACGTCAGAAAAGGGGTGCTCCGCCTACAGTATATGGGCAACTCTCCACCTATCAGGGGAATGGGGGGTTGGGCCACGGCCACTGCTGCTCAAAAGCGCTGGAGACGCTGTAGTACATATGCCAGGCCTGTAAGTGGCGCTGTAGTCTGCCACAAAAGCAGCGAAGAAGACTTCCTGTGCATGGTTGCCATGGTTGCCCTTCTGTTTATTCTCCGATGTGGACGCTCTGGCTCTTTTTCTCCCTCCTCGAGGCAAGCGTTTGCTCCTGCTGCTGTAATTCAATGCAATCCCTCCCTCGCTGTAATTCTCTCCGGTAGTCCACCAGCAGACAAACACCCACCTCTCCGCTTCTTCCAAGGGACAAGGGGACCGTGCGGCAGAGTTTCAGTTAGATTTGTTTTCGCCGGTCAACATGTGCGTTAAAGTTTAAATCTTCCGGACAAAATTAGAAAAGTGCCGGTCAAAGGTCTTCTTTGTTATTTATTGAGCTTTAAAACAAATGAATGACGACTCTATATAATAATATAAGAATAATACATGGAGGACGGAGACTCTCTTTTCCTCCCCCTCTTCTGAGAGCCCAGCAGCTGACCTTTGAGCACGCTCCCCTCTCCTGTAGGGGGGCGTGGTCAGCTGCAGCTCATTTGCATTAGCTACATCACAGACTCAGCCCTTGCAAAAACAGGGCTGGAAAAGAGCAAATAGAGCGAAATGAGGCATGGCTAAAATGCCAACACACTCTCACTCCATAATCGTCCAGGAGCGACGTTTGGTCAGTGTCCGTGGCGTGCAGTTGTGACGCTCCTAGGCTCCTTCAGCTTCATAAAGGGACGCAAATAGCTTTCAACTGATTGCAATGTATTCCCATCTGCGGCGGGATTTGACGCTCATGGAAGCACGGCATTCGTTTGTGTCGGCTGCCCTTTGATTGATTGATTGATTGATTGATTGAAAAGTTTATTAACAGCTTGTATATTGGGTACAGTACAGCTCAAAACATACAATTGTTAAGGGGATGCAGACCAGAGAAAGACTTTCGTCTTGTTTACATCAGGGTCCCCCATTTCCAATTCATCATATCATTTAAGACATATAAGACATATTTGACGTACTTTAAGGGCAGCCGACACAAACGAATGCCGTGCTTCCATGAGCGTCAAATCCCGCCGCAGATGGGAATACATTGCAATCAGTTGAAAGCTATTTGCGTCCCTTTATGAAGCTGAAGGAGCCTAGGAGTGTCACAACTGCACGACACGGACACTGACCAAACGTCGCTCCTGGACGATTATGGAGTGAGAGTGTGTTGAAAATGCATGATCTGTTTGGTATTTTGAAAGAAAAACTTCACAGACATGTTTTATATAGGTATGGCCCTGCAATATATTTTTCAAATATAGCATGATAGGTCCACTTTAGATAACAGGTCGGGAGATTAGATGTGAAGTTCCGTAGCTCTCCCTCCCTCCACGTCTCCTGCACAGTGGCGTGGACAGCGGCAGTCCCTTCAGACAGACAGGTAGCAGCGCCTCCCTCTTTACTGTCCCATGTTATGCCGGCTTTTCTTGGCTTATTTTGAAGGTGAGTGGTGATGAACAAATTACTTAACTGCCAGTGCCTCGAGTTTACAGCTAATTGGCTAAAAGACAATAACAAATATAGTTAACTAAGGTAGGCTACTAGCTAATGGATAAGTTAGCTCAAGGTTTAGCTAAGACCATTTATCATGGGCATACAGGCTAATGTACTGTAGCTACTTAAGGGGAGACACTTCAAGCGAATATAGTAAAATGTGTATCTAAAAACGTCATCACAATCGCCACATTGATATGCAAATTAGGCGTTAACTTGGCCTAATTAAAATGCGCTAATTTGCATGCAGTTACCAAGGCATCACCTCACAACTTCCCCAGTTACTTACGTCAAGTCAGTATTTTCCACTGAAATGTTATGTTTAAATATGCAGAGTAGCTTTAAATCTATGGATGAATTCAGTTTGTTGTCTGCTCTTGTGCATTGTGAATACTAAAGAAGACCATTGTCTCTGTGTTAGCTGATTATTTTGTAGAATTATGTTGAGTATTAAACAATTGTGTGAGTGTGAGGGCATTAAAATAAATTGGTCAGTAAGTCAGAGGTGTGCAACTATATTTAACTTTTTTATATATATATGATTATGGAAAGTGCCCTTTTTCTCACTTGAGCACCCGCCCCACAAAATGTCTGTGCATGTCCCTGCTTTCATCATTGCATTTAGGAAGTAGCAGTGTCTTATGCTTTACCGATACATCTAAAATCCTTAGTATAAATTCCCGAATTAAAGAAAGTTAGCCTAAAAGCATATTCTTCTTGTAAGTGTGCAGCTGTATGCTATAATTAGTTTGGTTGCCAATATATATAATTGTGACATGATCTTTCCCATTAAATATATTGTATTAACACATTATTAGTACCAGTAAGTAATATAGGCTACTACTATTACCATTAATAAAATACAAGTTAATGTTGTATTGCTTACCAATTTGTCACAGGGGTGTTGCTTTATCCCAGACTAATGGCTTTACTCTTTGCATCCTCTCACAGGATAAAGAAACATTGATATGAAGAGTTAATAATTAAGAAAAAACACAGCTTAATGTTGCAAAAATAAATATTGACTTTATTGTTTGGAAGGAAACGGCTTCTGTCAGGCTACACGTTACAGTCTGTTTTTAACTGAAAGCAGAGCGCGGACTGTTTGCAACAAGCCAGCAGAGAAGGCCGAGCACAATTGAGTGTTGCACACATTTGTTTTGTTTACGTGCTCCAAGAAGCTAGCTTAGCTAGCCACAAATTCGAAGCTGCAACATATTTTAAACATAAGTTCTACTGATACTGATACACCATGAAGCCCGCAGTGGACGAGATGTTTCCTGAAGGAGCCGGACCCTACGTAGACCTGGACGAGGTGGGTCAACTTGTTCGGAACAAAATATTTAAACATAAGTGTCCAAAAACAATGGCTAATGCTAACTAGCCTAGTAATGTTAGAGTTGTAAAGTTGTGGTAGTCTTCCTTAAGAAAATGCTTATTAGAACCGTCAATTTGCAGCATTTCGGGATATAATTATAACACAATAAACATATTCCATGTATATAACGTCAGCGCTTTTTATAGCACAAACCGGCTAAGGTAGCATACTTTTCTTATCAGTCTGTATGCATTGTGCCAAAATATGTAACCCTCAAAATGCAGACATTACAATTCTATTGCTACTTTTTATTTTTCAAATGATACCTTATAACCCCGGTTAATATGAACACGTTTCTTTTATTAAAGTAGTAGTGTGATAAGAGCTCATGTTTTAAATTATATGTCCAACCTGCACAACGCAGGCGTTGCCCTCTTTATAACACACAGGGGATTCCCCAGAGCCAGCATTTTTAAATATGACTTATTGCCAATTCCATTACTGTTAACACATTATTTCCATGTAGACTGTATCCCTATTATATATATTTAACCTAATGTGTTGTGTGTGTGTTTAGCTAGTTCCATGACACGGGTTGTACCGCTGTGTGTTCACAGGCAGGGGGCAGCAGCGGCCTGCTGATGGACCTGGCAGCCAATGAAAAAGCAGTGCATTCGGATTTCTTTAACGGTAAGCCACAGTTTACTCCCTTTCCCGCCTATATGATTACATTTGAACCTATGATTTGAACACACTGGGAAGAATATGTGACTGTTTGTGAAAATATAGTTGCATAAAAAGTAAGCAGCACTGCATACAATGAGGAGAAATATTTTAGAGTTTAGCAGAAATAAGCGGAAGTCTTTTTTTAATCTAGCATGTTTATTTGAGTGGTAACCAGTCTCAACAATAAGCTTACATTCTTTGATCTGTATCACATTCAAAAATGATCAAAACCAAATGATATAATGCAACAAAAAAGCAGTACTCCCAAGCAGCAAACTCTGGGGAACAACCGGGAAGCCAATACGGAAGTGCCACACACTGCAGTTCATACATGGGCCGCTAGGGACTGGCTGCAGAAAGGAGCCATTTCCATAGACCCCCATGTTAAAATGCCCAACTTTACAGCAGAAAAAAACATGTTTCTACCCATGGATGCAATAAATATTATTATCGATATAGTTAGATTCCACCTTCATGATTATGAATCTGTGAGTGAATTGTTTTCTAACACGACCCTTTTATTTATATTAGGTCTTAACGTTTTTTGCATAAATTAGGGCGTGGTCACGTTGATGGACACGCACATGCCTCACTGTCAGTACTATACATGTTAACCCCGTTCGCAGGTGTTTGTGTGCTTGGTAGCTTAGCTTGTTACTTATTAGCCAGCTAAGGACGTAAACCTTTATGCATACATATACATTTTAGTTTATGATTCAGCCTTGGATAAGATTTTTATAGTCTATGGCTATGACGCCCATAATGCTAAACGGGAGCAAATGTTAATAGGGGACCCAATTATCCCAGTGGTGGCCGCCGGAGCTAACGGAGCCGCAGGGGGCTAGCTCCAGCCGGCGTCCCAGAGCTAGCCCACTGCGGCTCCATTAGGTCCGGGCGGTGGAGTCCGTCTTTTCTCAACGTGTGAATGACAAGCATTAAGAATAACAAAATATAGCTAATTCTCTTGCAGATTAATGTAACGTTTATATAGGGGAACTACACTGTTAGCAGTAACTTGGTATGCATGTATTTCATGTTAGCTTAGCTTCTTAGCCTGAGCTAGCTCTGTTTACTTCCAGTTCGGAGGCAGCAGGTCCCGCCTCGGCTCCGCCTCTTTGCCCTTATTTGGAGCAGGCGGGATTAGACTCTGACGTCACAGTCGAGCCGTTAGTGGCCGACTCCGCCTACTAAGGGCTTCACGGCAACTCTGCAGAATCCTATGGGTGACGTCACGGACACTACGTCCATTTATATATACAGTCTATGAGTACTCCTCCATATCTGATGGAGAAGTGTGAATATGATGACCCCTCTTGTGCCTACTTAAAATAATAAACTATTATGATTTGTTGGCATCCGTCATCTTGCTCTATTACACATATTTGTCAGTAGACACCTGCAATTTAAGACACGTATGGCTCTGTTTACACAAATTGAATTTATTTTAACATTCTTTATTTTCGTTGGTTAATGTGATATCTGTTGCAACGTGTAAATGAGAAACCCAGTTCTCATGAAATGATCAAGGGATTAACAGAAACCTAGTTAACGCATATAGAGAAACCTGATCATTTGACCCCTTTCTTTTAAAGCTAAATTTAAACTGTACGTTAAAAGCCATGACTGAACAGTTTGTACACATCTGCAAAGTAAAAGAAAATAACTGTCTGTGTCTCTTTACCAGGGACTTGAACAAATAATTCAACGTGTTTTGAGGTACATAAACATTTTAAGGGGATGAACCAAATCATTGGAAATGGTAAATGGATTGTAAGTGTAAGCGCATTATCAATGGTGTTGCTTTAGCCTTGTTTAATTAACCCTAAAACATCCTGTTGTTCCCCTGTAAACACCATTTCACACGTAAACACACACTGAGGAAAAACAAAAACACTAAGCCAATCTGTTTTCCGTCTTGCAGAATCGGCTGCAGGCAAAACCAGTTTGGCTCAGCAGCACATGACCTAGAAAGGAAAGAGCTGATTGTTAAAAAGGAAGGAATGAAAGAAAAAAGAGTAAGAAGAGGAGGATAGTAAAGTTAGTTTTATAGCTGCTGTCAGACTGAAACTCAACGGGACACCTCGCCAGTCAGCTTCTTTAAAAAAAACACACACACACACACACACACACACACACACACACACACACTCCTATATTTCACTTGGGTTGTTAACATTGCTAAAACTGCCATTCAGTTAATTCCCATGTATTGTAGATCTTAGCTTATGGCTTAAACACTAGCCGAGATTTAAATCCCATAAGGGCTTGTTATACTAATAGTGTACTGTAATAATGCCATGTTTAATTTGGAAATAAAACAGCTGGTAGACATTCAGTGTCCAAAATAATGCGTCTTAATGGCTTGTAATTTCATGTATTGCTTTTTCAGTGACTGCAGATTAAGCAGTAATGGGATTCTAAAGCCTTAGCCACTCATGTTCTAAATAATACATGAACACTTTCGTTAATCAGAATCGTGATTTTACAAGAGGTTGGCAAGACACGGAAAATAGTTATGTCTGATTGTAGAAGAGGGGATCATTTCAAACCATTGTTGGATTTCCTCCCTAATTGAGCTCTGGTTGAAGTACAACTGGAAATCCCAATAGAAGGTTTTTGTGGTGTTAAAAAAATCTGAATCGTGTAAAATATGGACACTTTTTTTGGATTATGTTGTGAAAAAAATGTATTTAAAATAAGACTGGTGCTGCGTTAAAGTTAAAAGTTGCACGGGGTTATGGGTAGCCAAGGGGCAAGCTGTTTTGCTCGGTGCCTGTCCCTTATTAGGCAAAAAAAGGAATGTCCTTTTCCTGGAAACTACAAAGACATGAAAGAAAGAGTTTATCAAAGCTGGATCGGTTTCAACCTTTTCGACATTCTGGCAACGGAAAAATGACTTTATAGACTAAATAAATGGCTTCCAACTACTTTTAGCTCACTCTCAAATATTTGAAGCGGACGGTGTAGAGGCAATTTATGTTACATTAAGGATTTTGGTAGATGGCCCTGTGGGCCATCTAAGCTAATTTACAGATGGCCCTGAGCCCAATAGAGATTGCCCTGAAAAATGCCCGCGGACGAAATGATGCACGAAGGGTTTGGGGGGCCTCCCCCTAGAAAATGTAGATGTTTGCAGGTCTTAGATGCTGTCTGGTGCATTCTCTAGACTGAATTATAAGATGAACCACCACAATATTATATTGTATAATTTCAATTGTGTTCTTCATTTCACTTGTTTGTTCTCGTTTGTGTTTGCTCGCTTGCATGCCCTGCATAGCTATAAGAAATACTTAAGTTGTTGGTCAAGACACTTTCCATCTGATGAAGGCAAATGCCTTCCCAGATGTAAAAAAGTAGAAAACATTACATTCAGTTATAACTGCCAAAACAAACGTTATTTACCCTGTTAAAAATGTTTGTAATGTTATCTACTGTAAGTTGGTCGAACGAATGCCTCCTCATCCGGAAGCTGACCGAGAAGACAAGATAAGCATACAAAATGTCGACGTCAGAGTTCCCATTAGCCGGCAAATCTAAATCCCTTCGGTCAAAATGTCCGGTCAAAATAATTTCCCTTTAGTGCAATACCGCTTCAGTTGCGCCACTTATGTGACAGAGAAAAGAGTATGTGACAGACAAGAATAGTCAATTCTAATGTCTAACACTTACTTTTGAGAAAGAGACGCGTCCTGCGTGGGTTGATTGTGCGTTGATCTGTTGATCTGATCTGAACACTACTGTACCATTTCTTGATATGTGCTGTTTTCTCTGCATACTCTAATGAGGGTTATTATTCTCAAGCACTTCAAGGCCACAGAGCTGATTTGGCAGGCTATGTTGAAACTACTCCTCTTCACACAAAGTTTGAACTTCCATATTCTGATAACCGTTATACTCAAACAGCTCAAGGACACAGGTGTCTAATAGCGATATGAGACATCTGAGTGAAAGCAGATTTCTGAGGCGTTCCGCCTAGCTACACAAAACTCTGTCTGCATATAAGCTTTGCCATTATGTGACTATTGCGCACACTCCTGCAGACTATCCTATACTCTGTGAGACCTGTACCTTTGAAGCTTCAAATAAATAACCAACAAGACAACGCTGTCTGCTTTCACCAGTTTATTGCTCTCTCTCTCGCTCTCTCGCTCGCACTTTGGCTGTGAGCTGCGGGCGCCTGATAAGCCAACATCTCCCACTTTCATCACTTACAGCGCCCATCGTACAGGGCAAATGAAAAGTGTAACTGGGGTGAAAAGGGTGTTACATTTACTTAATTATGAATGTTGTTACATCAAGGCCGAAAATTAGGATGAGCGCCAACGGTCAAAATTGTTTTTTTCCCTCCCAGAGCTACCAGCGCAGTGCCCCCCAGATCTGGCGCCCTAGGCGACCGCCTATGCCAAAAATCGGCCCTGCCTAGTACATACAGTGGCAATGTCTCAAGATTTAGCAAACATACATCTTTATTGAACATACAGTAACACAAATACTACAAATCCACATAACAAACAATCAAAAATGAAAAAGGGTCGCCACTTATTATTATTTTAATACAAAAATTAAAAGTAAAAAGCAGCACCCCCCAGCAGCGGCGCGCATATTTCAGCAGCGGCGTGCATATTTCAGCAGCGGCGCTGCCCGTATATAGGTATATACTGGTGTTTCATTATGATGAGATGTAAAGAAACGCTCATTTTAAATTGGGTTACTATAATAGTAATCACATTACAGGCTCCTACAAGATCTTTTTTGTTTTATTTTTATAAATCTTTTTTCATGATGTTAGATCAGTAACCCTTTGATTTTAATAAAATAGCTATTTAATATTGGTGAATGAAGTTCCTGTGTTTGGTCACGTTTAATTAGTACAAGTAAAAGACACCCTGGATACAAAAGTTTCCGCAAAACAGCAAACAAAACGTTTTAGCTTTCTTCTCCTGACGACTAAAAACCCATGGCCAATAAAAAAAAAAAACAATTCTCACTTATTTGAAGCCTATGCAGTAAGACTTATAATGGTTTTGGTTCCCATTTTAAAGTGTGTGATTCTATTTGAGTTTGTATCTTCATTCACTTTTTGTAAGTCGCTTTGGATAAAAGCTAAAGAACTTTGGAACTTCAAATCTAGAATAACAACAATGATATAAACACAAGAGAATGTAGGAGTTGTTGGAAACAGCTGGTCTCATTCTAACCCTGTTCTTGTCTTTTTGTCTCTATTCTTTCTTGTGTTCTTTCTTTATTTCTGCAGACTTTGAGGACCTGTTCGATGACGATGACCTGCAGTGATGACCGACACCTGTGTGTTTCTGTGAAAGTGTACATAAAGAAATCAACAAAATGGGCTTAGTCTGACCAAAAGATCTCTCTAATTTGTACAGAATGTCACCCACCACCATACTGAAATAAAGACTTTGTTTTTACAAAAGAAAAGCTGTCTTGGTAAACCAGGTGTTTATGAATTCTGAAGATCGCTTACATTCCAGCTTCGGAGAAAATTATGAGTATGGTTTTGCCGTCGTCGTGTTTGAATCTGTTACCGGCTGGATTGTAGGTTTGTGGTCTGGGAGAAACACCTGTTAGCAAACCTAATTACATACGAGATACAGTGTTAACATGGCCACTAAATGTTCAGTTAGGGCACGATGGGACAGGAGAGGGGCTGCGAAAAATGTGGGAATGCTTGAAAAACAAATACAGAGCCAAAAAAACACATTAAGTTTTAAACTTTACATTTATCATGAACAGGGAAAATGGTAAAGCTGTAATTTGACTTCACTTATATGTGCCTTCAACTGTTGTGTGAACTTAAAGAGTGCAATCTATATTTTAATGTATTCACTTCTGACTTTCTCCGAGGTGTTGCACGCCCAAATAAACCAGCTGCATGTGTAGATTTAGAGGAAAATATAACATTTAAGTATAATGTGTGTGCACACGCTTCTGGATAACAATTGTAATATATTGCAAAAAGTACAGGTGATGACAGTTTAAAGATGTTACAGTCCATGGCCAAAGGTATGTTACACCCATTACAGTGGGACTTTTTGAAAACATCTCACAATTGATGAGCCTGTTTGCTTCCATTCAGCCACAAGAGCATCATCATTCTAGTTTATCCGAAAAAGTGCTGGAACAAGATGGTGTCACAAATATCCGTATGCAAAAAAATGTTCTCAATATTTTAATCAATCTAGCCCACATTGTCCTGAAAGCATGGAGTTCTTGAGTTTTAAACTTTAAAAAGGTCATCTTCAAATTTTAAAATCGTATTATTTCTTATTCAGTCATGAATAACATGTTTTCAGGGGATTTTAGGTTTTAAGCTCAAACCATTCAAAGCAGCCTCAATATAACAGTCCTCTGACTGCAATTTCACAATCTCATGTGCAAACGTAAAATAGAAAAATAAAATAAGTCTAGCCTGTGTGTTGCAAGAGCAATGTTTCCCATGTAAGCCACTTTATCTGAGTTTAAATAACTTTTGGTGTGATTAGGGTTACGGGGTTAGGAAAACCAAATAGACATTTCTATTTCTCCTTAAACTTAATAAAACCTCCTCAGAATCTGTCCTTGATGCAAACATCATAAAGCCACTGAGTGGTACAATGCAATTACAGGCTAATGCGGTCAGATGTGCTGATATTGCATCACACATCGCAGCCAAAAGCCTTTTTCAGAGTCACACTAAAATCAGCCTTTGTGTATGTGTGAGTCTTACAAGGCTGGCATGCCTGAACACAGTTAAAGTGAGGAGGAAACTGTAGATTATCAAATTCCTCATGTGTAGACCAGCTGCCCCTGTGTGTGTGTGTGTGTGTGTGTGTGTGTGTGTGTGTGTGTGTGTGTGTGTGTGTGTGTGGTGTGTGTGTGTGTGTGTGTGTGTGTGTGTGTGTGTGTGTGTGTGTGTGTGTGTGTGTGTGTGTGTGTGTGTGTGTGTGTGTGTGTGTGTGTGTGTGTGTGTGTGTGTGTGTGTGTGTGTTCTGGTTTGGACAGAAGCTGTGGTTTGGCCCTCATTGAAGCCCCCTGAGAAGTGCTTATGTGGCACCTCAGCCACCCTTCATAATTACCTGATGTTGTCTTTCTTCTGTCCCTTTCTGTCTGGTTGTCTTGCTTGGCAGAGATGTAACATTAAAAAAAGAATGATCCAGTGTCTGATTTCAACCCTTAACTGTGACATATCATTAATAATCAAGCGTCTTATATTGAAAAACCCCTAAATGAGACAACTTCTACAGAATCTCTCCACGTCTCCACCTCGGCTTCGAACCCTCCCACCTTTTCTCTTTTCCTGTCTTTAATTACAGAGCCTCCAATTGGCTGAAACTTTCGGAAAGATCTAACCAATCACGCATCTTGTTGAGGTGGCCCATGACCCCTTCAGGTGGTGCTTGCTTGCGTTTTTCTGTGAAATTTTGAAGGAACGGGCTTGGTTTAAAACCTTGCCACATCCTTACATGAGGGCAGTCTGTCAGAAGGGCCACAGAGACAGGGTAGACCAGGAACCTCTATCATACCCTCAGAAACACACTCGGTGTTTGGACTGAGAGACCCTGTCTGTCGGCTCGAGTCCACATCTGGATCCGCGGACACAAGATATTAGAAACACAGGTAAGAGACAGGTACACTTATTTTTACTTATAGGTACTTATTAAGGATCCAAGTTCAGCTTGAAGTCAAGTTTGTCTCCTGAACAACACCTGGTTAACCACTAGTCCTTGTGGCAACTTGTTTGTTTAAAACCTACACATCAAAGTTCAGTTCCAACACTTCACCAGCTCTCCAGGTGAATACGTGCCTAGTCTGGGGTCTCAGGTATTGATTTGAGAGGAGATTAAATAGCATTGATTGTTAAGGTTTCATGGAGGTAAACACCATCTATTTGGGCTGAGAAGATTTCCACTTAAAAATGCTTCTGGATGGGGAATAAGAGAAAACAACTTGACTAAAGCATACAGATATTGTTCTACCACCCTAACTTTATCATCATGGCATTAATTAAAAGAACATGTACAAAGAAATGTGTATAAATGCAACGTTGCTGTCATTATGCTCAAATATTGTCCTTAGATACAAGTCTGTAAAATCAAATGATATAATCAATCTGTTGTGAACAAAGATTTGAAGGCATGATAGAGATGAAGTGGGGTGATTGTGAACATTGATGTGTTTGGCAGGAGGAGGTTAAGCCATGGCTGGAAGGAGGAGAAGCAGTTTCTCTGCTGTGTTCATCGCTACACTGCTGGCTGTGATTCTGCTGCCTGGTGAGTACTCAGCGGGGGTCTGACAGTCCAGCACCACACACCAGGGTCAGAGTGGAACATATCTGTCAGTTCTAATTACCTATGGCTTTATGGTTAACTAAAACGTTCTAATCCATGTCTCACCGGCAGTTGAAGACAAACTCAGATTCTTTACTCTGGTAAAAGTAGAAATAGCAAGCAGTAAATGTACTATATAACAAAGGAAAAGGGTTGAAAATGTTATGAAAGTAAGTAAGGCCCTTTGAGTTAAAGAGTTCAAGCTAATTTGAAGTATTTTGTAGATGCAGAATCATTTTCAGTTGATAGATTTACTAGTTTAATTGTAACAACATTTTGTAAAGGTGTTCATGTTTTGTATTCTAATCTGAAGGGGGCTACAACTGTTAAATTAATGTGGTGGAGTAAACTTTTTCTTAAAGTATTCAGTCCACTTTCTGAGTACATATTTAAATTATTCAAGATTAAACGAGCAGTAGATAAGTTTGAGAAACCGGCTTGAGATACACTTTGTGTTATATTCCATGGAATGCTCTTAACATCCCGATAGCAATGAATATCTGAAGTGCTTTGACAAAAAATCCATGAAAAAATGTCATCTGTAGAAGCCGTAATACTGTAAAAAGTACAACCAATCCGTTTAGCCGGCCCGGCTAAACGGATTGGATGGCCTACCTGCCTGTCAGCCTCCCATCGGGGCACACACTTATCTCGTGCCCTCATTGGTCATGTGCGCGTTCGTATGTGTTGGAGGAGGGGCTCTATAAGGAAGTGGCAGATTTTCTCCGGTTGTGTATTTTCAAATTCTAGCGATCTCGAGCCCGTTTCTCAAACGTACCTACCCCTCCTTTAACAATGACTATATTAAAATGCATAAAAACAGAAAGACGTTGCTAACATTTCAAAGTACGATATGCATCCCTATGGCTGGGTTTAAATATGACAAGCCTATGATGCCCTGATGAAAAATACCAGCTAGTATCTCTTACCATTTAAATAGACACAGCACTAATTGGTCCTAATTTTCTATTTTTTCTTAAAGACAACACAACCAAAATGTGATTAAATCCCAGAATAATAGGTATTTAATTATAATGGCAATAAAAGATGAGCTTATGTATTAAAAGCTCCATTTAGTTTAATATGTGCAACTACAAAGCGTTGGTGCTAAAGTATTGTGAGTGAGAAATGACCTACCAAAGAGTGCAGTATTTCACATCACACTAAATGATAAAATGGTTAGTGATAATCAAGATTCTGATGCAAATATTCATACAGCAGTATCTCCTTTTCAAAGCTGCGCTGTACAGATTTGGAGTCCAAGAAACAGTTACACAAGTATATTTTCTTAGTAAAGGAGTTTTTTGTTTGTTAAAAGTTGGAGCCAGTGTTTGAAGAAGTGTTTAGATCTTTTTCTAGGGAAGTTTTCATTTCCCTTCAGTGAAAGTTCAAATTATCAGCAGCAAAATGTGATTTTATAGATTTTTTTATTACTGTGTATGCAGCATTATGTTGATAAATGTAAGCAAAACAACTACTTTGATGGGTTGGATGGTTAAATCTGTAAAAATGCATCATATGTTATAAGCAGATGTTTATTTTATGTAAGACTTTTTCTTAAGGGATCAAAAGCTGTATAAGCATTCTCACGTACTGAACCTGAGTTCTGTGGTTCTTAATTACTTTTTGCATCACTGGTTTAAGCACAATGATTTGTTGTCATCATCCACAAAATATTTGGCTTAATATTCATGTTTTACCTCTTCTCTGTATGTTGTGTATTTGTTTGCTGTGTGACCTTGTTTCCGTTAAAACTCTTAATATCTCAAAAATATTATTAAATTATAGGTTTCAAGGATGAGTTTGAACCGCATACAGTAGGGGTTGCCCTCATCGCCACGCAACTGTGCTTAAAGTGTACTTCGTGGCTCTCTAACATAGCCCGTGGTGCTCATATATCATTTATAATGCTTCAACATGAAAACAGGTTGCTCCTGCACCACCTGTTTTAACTTTGCAATTCATCATTGGCATATGTACACAGGGCCGAGCATCAGCACCGCTTTGAAAAACGTTTTTTTTTAAACTGCAGTGTGATTATTAAAAACAGAGTAGGAGGAGATGTTTCTTTCAACGTTCCTGGTCCTGTAAAAAGATTAGTACCTGTCAGCA